CTCGGTGCTCAACCTGGCGCAGCCTTGCTCCTCCTGCAACCCCGAGAAAGCCCCGCGTGCAGCTGCCCGCGTGGCCGCGTCATCCCCGCGCCCCCGCCCCGCGCCCACGCCCGGCGCTGACGGTGCGCGCCCCCGCCTGCGCGCCCCCAAGCTGCGTGGAGTCGTCCCAGCTCTGAGGAGCTTCCCCCAGGCGAGTGCGGTGACGCAGCTTTTAAAGTTCAAATACAGGTTCTCTCCTAATTTCTCTAAGCCCCGCGTGCAGCTGCCCGCGTGGCCGCGTCATCCCCGCGCCCCCGCCCCGCGCCCACGCCCGGCGCTGACGGTGCGCGCCCCCGCCTGCGCGCCCCCAAGCTGCGTGGAGTCGTCCCAGCTCTGAGGAGCTTCCCCCAGGCGAGTGCGGTGACGCAGCTTTTAAAGTTCAAATACAGGTTCTCTCCTAATTTCTCTATGCCTGCGTTTCAACACAGGGACCAGCTAAAGAAGCAGAAGGGTGAGAAGCTGGGAGGACTGGAGTCGGGCTTTAGAAATCTCTGGTCTGCAAGGGGCACAAGTTGTGAAAAAACAGTCCCGGAGCTTGCCACCAAGTGGAGAGGAAGAAGGGGCGGCCTACCCAGGTTGTGAGATGAAAGGTTTCCTCTTCAGAACAGTGTGGGAAGATGAGAGGTCCTGAACCTGTAGAAGCAGGTTAATGTCAAACTGGACCGCATGATTGCCCTGGCTCAATTTTAAGACCAAGCCTAGTTAGTCTTTTCTATAGGTTGGCATGTGTCAGGCAGAGGACTGCACACACTACACACACACGCACACACACACACGCACACCCCTCCTGCTAGGTTCATGATTGAGGTCCCTGTAACAAGAGACAGATTAATATGAGGAAAACACTAGGTTATTTAATGTAAATTTTCCATTACACAGGAACTTTCGGAAGGAAATGAAGACCCAAAGCAGCAGAGGAACCTGTGTATTTTTGGTAGGGTTGGGTGAAGATGGGGATAATTGTGGAGAATGATGATTGAAGGGGGTGCAATCTAATGTGAGTAAGCAGGGTGTGGAGGAACATAGCAAGCAAGACCTGGTTGTTCAGATTTTTTTGTGTCACTGCCATGAAACATAGAAGTTCCTATCCTTTCTAAGGGCCTTCACCTCTCAAATGAGGGTTTATGACCTAAATCAGAGAAGGCTGGTGGCAGGGTCTTTTTTTCTCAAATGCTAGAGTGTCATGTTTGGGGGTAGTATGCCCTCAATCCAGTCAGTTCTCTGACATCTGTCTCCAGAATGGATTGCTCTCATCTTCACCAAAGGTCCACTGAAACAAGCAGTATGGCATCCGAGGGTGTCCTATGGAACATGCAGTAGGGTTCACCTGAACTCTATCACAGAGACCCCAGCATTCCACCTTCAAGGGGATACAAAATAATGTACATCTCAGCTCAGCAGCTACAGCACAGATTTGAGTGGGCTAAGCAGTTATGGGCCAGGGATTTGTAGGCCTGCATTTGGTAGTAATGACTTTTATTAATGGACATAATCTTGTGAAAGGAAGCTCCCAGAAAGAACTGCATCTTGGACTGAATTTCCTGAAAGGCTGACCAATTGATTATCACTCTGGAGATTGTGGAGAGTCTGGAATGTTGCAGATCCAGAACTTATTCACAAATTATCTGGGGACATCTTTAACCCCATAGCCACACCTTGTCTACCTCTGTTTCTGCATTAACATTCTTGTGACTAATAAAATGTATTACCTTAGCAGACCACCGGATCTCACCAATCAAAAAGCTAAGAATGTCATCAGATAGCATCTGAGACCTAGAGTAGAAACCCCCCACTTTGCTATGACCTGCCTACTGAATGTATCCATCAATGTGTTTGAAAACTGTCTTGATTTATGACTGTTCTTTGTTCTGTTACTATAAAAACGTCCTGTTCTGTTACCACCCTGGAACATGGAAATTGGGGTAACTTGAATTTGTGTTGCTGGGCCATGGTCACTCATATTTGGCTCTAGAATAAACTATTATCTCTCTTGAGGTGAAAGTTATGCTTTTGTGTCGACAGTTATAGTGCCCAATGAGGGGCCCCAAGAATTATCTGTTTTTCATCAGAGGAGTCATCTGGACGGAAGCAAGTACCGGCATGGATCCATTGAGTCCAGACATCCGGTGGTACGGGATGGATTGTGGTGAGTTCTTTCTGGGGCTCTCAGACCTCCCTTGGTTTGGACAACGGTCCCTTTGTTTGTTCTGAGCTGGTTGTTTAAGGATCCTACTAATTAGATACCTTCATTGTTTTTGGTTTGCTTTTGGACTGTTTGTTTTACAATATCTATTTTGTTTGTTTGCTTTGAAAGTATTTGGTTTCAACATTTGGTTTGGTTTTTGTGTTGTTGCTATCAGACAAACTTCTTAAAACACATTTGATTTGTTAAAATTTGCCAGCAGTAATTTTTTTTCTTCTTTCTTTTTCCTTTTTTCCCTCTGAATACTTCTCCCATATCTAATCTAAGGAATGGAGAAATGCTTTGAGAAAAAGAAATGTTTCATATTCCAGCTGGTTTTAGGGTTGATTAATATGTTCCTTTAACTTACAAATGTAAGAAAATGTAAAAATCCAGCTTAAGGTAGTCTGCCAATTTTAAGATTCCTATTTGTTTAGATATTTATTTGCTTGTGTGCTTTCAAAGTGTCTACTTTAAATTACCCATTTTTGTTTGCTTCAGTAGCAATTTGTTTCTAATTGGTTTGTTTTTTAATTTTGGTGGCTTCTAGAACTTTGAAGGCATTTTGGTTCTTGATTGTGGTTTTGTTTTTGATGTTTTTATTTAGTTGGCCTTTGTCTCCAGACACTCCCCCCAATATCTAAATTTGCATTTTATTTTCCTGTGATTTCTCCTGGCTTTTTTGTAGGCTTGATGCCTTTAGCTTAGGAATATTATGAGTGCCTGATCATAGAGGTGCTGAAGACAAGAGACACTGTTCCCTCCACCCTTACAGAGTGAAGGAATCCAGGGGAACTCCCCAGGACGAGTAATGGCTTCATAAGGAAACCCAATCAACAAACCCCATTCCTGGGTCAGAAGCAACTTTATTGGCTCCTCCGAGAAGACATACATAAGGGTTGATCACCCAGTGTCTTGAGCCACCTTACATTTCTGTGCAGGATAATCCTGAGATCCAGTGGGAGAAAACAGTCTCAGTGTGAAAGCTGATAAAGTCCATCCCAAAAGCAGCGCATAAACCAGATCCGAAATACATACTCCCCGCTAGCATAGAAAGGTTTGCAATATCTCAGGAGAAAATAAAATAAATAAACTAGTAAATAAAATGGGAAACAAGTTTTCCAAAAAAAGAAGAAAGTGTTTAAAGATAAACTGCCACCTGACACTATAGCTGGCTTTATGTATGATGATTATGAACTTTCAACTTGCAAGTATTTGGAAAAATGGGGAGATTTAGCCAAAGACAACTTGGCTCCTCAGTGGGGAATATTTAATGTTCCAAAACTGAGATTTGTGTGTGTGTGTGTGTGTGTGTGTGTGTGTGTGTGTGTGTGTGTGTGTGTTTTTTTTTTTTTTTGGTTTGGTGTGTTTGGGGGTGTGTGTGTGTGTATGTGTGTGTGTGTGTGTGCTTAACTAAAAAGTCCTAGGCAATAATATTCAAACTATCACATGGGCAGTCTGTTTAAA